CAAGTTTTATTCAGGTACAAGCTCTCCCTCCTCTGCAAGGACAGATCTGCACGTCCCCCTGCCCAAATAGCTAGCAATCCAAAACAGTCCAGTGGAGCCTGAGCGGTGGGTGTTGCCTTCTGACACATTTCCGGTGATGTCAGGGGGTGTGGCATATGCAAATAAGTCATGCTAATGAGTTATGCTAATGGGCGCCTGCACCTCTCATTTCTATGAAATGATTCCTGATAAAGACATGACACATGGACAGTGAAAATACATCATAAAAGACAAATAGGGAATGGTTATGTAAGATGTACAACATTCTGTCCTCCTACTCACTTCCAGACTATCCAATTAACAGGTAAATGTGTCATTTACAGGGCTTAGCTTCATTGCCACCTACCTATCCAGGAGGTCCAATGACTCTGAATTCAGGACGGCATCTCCTGAGAAGAGGAATTCATAGCAAGAAGGTTTCTTTCCCTTTACTTGGAAAAAAGTATTCCTTTGTGTTAACCGCTTCCCCACCCAAACACCTACCCTTCCACAGACAGTGATTGACTGCCCAGAACATAAATCTACCTTTAAAATCTTTTTACATTCATCTCCAAGCAGCTGAAGACACCACATACACATTAGCTATTAGAGGTCACACTGGGGGCTTGCTAGTTCCAGTTCTCTTCCCTTATAAGGAAAAGAAAGTTCCTTTCACTTTTCATCTCCCTCTGACCTTATCTCGCAGACCACATCCGAAATGCTGGCATGACAAGAGCAAGCAAACGAAAGCCCTCTTTAAACAGAACTTTAAAAGGCTTCTTCCCTGCATTGGATAACCGTATCACCTACCTGGAAAGTGTGGACACGATAGAGCTACGGGAGTCTGAACATAGGAGCCTTCTTCGTGTCTCCTGAACCCAACCTCCTTAAAAGGATTTCAGCAAGATGCTGTGCCTGATGCAGGTCAGTACTGGGGGGCGAGAATGACCTTTGCTTAAGGGTTGTTTCCATCTGCCGAGGGGTTGGGGGCTGACTGGGGTTCAATTAGGGTTCCCAGCCTCCAGGTGGGGCCTGGGGATCTCCCACTTTTACAACTGATCTCCAGCTGACAGAGATCATCTCCCCTGGAGAAAATGGCTGCTTTGAAGGGTGGGCTCTCTGGCATTGCACTATGCCGAGGCCCCTCCCCTCCCCTCCCCAAACCCCGCCCTCTCCTGGCTCCACCCCCAAAGCCCCCAGGTATTTTCTAACCCAGACCTGGCAACCCTAGGTTCAATCCCCCTTCTGCTCCAGCAGAGTTTTTAAAACTGATACTTGCATTACAACAGTCACCTTGCTTTTTCCATCTCTGTCCCAGCGACTGCATCAGTCACTTCTCATCATTTTTTAAAAAAATTACTCACTTTATTTGTACCCTACCATCATGGCCTGCCTGGCTGCCTCACTGCTTTCCCCTCATGAGTGTCAGGTAACCCTGTCATGGATCTGGAATGTGGAGGGGTGCCCTCCTTTTGCTTCTCAGCTCTCCCTGGCTCACCAACTGTTTGCTATCTTATGCTTGACCTTGTAGAAACTCCAGCTGCAGTTTACTTGGCTGGGAAAGTTAACGGCCTTTTTGCTTTGCCCGCTTGCTTTGCCTGTGCGCGCGAAATGTATCCATTGGCTCATGCTTACAGGGGGGATGTTTGATTTTACTATAAGTCAGAGGCCCTAGTACTGAATGCCATTTCTGACACAAACTGTACACGTGTTCATTAGTAATGGACTCATCAATAAACAGTTATCTTCTTATGAAGCCCTGTGTGGTGTGACCTGACTAAAGACCCTGTCAATGAGCTGATTAAATTGAGTTACGGGAGGTCACTTTCTTATGTCCCTATCCCCCTTATGCCTCCAGAACTACTGTGGAAATATAGCATGGGCCCCAGTTTTAAGCATTTAAAGCTATGCTTCAGGCTTTCAGACAATTCATTGAACCCACATGTCAGAACCCACAGGTAACAATGAAGTACACGCATTCAGGAATGGTTATACTTTTATTGCAAAGCTATAGATGCAGTAACACAGGCACTGTTAAGAATGGCGGCAACCAATAGAGCCTAATAGGATATAGGGTATTCGTATGCACCCCCGATGGCATGGGCCAATTAGATACCCTCCTGCGCGTGGGACAAGTTAGGAAACCGTTAGGTGGCTAAAGCTGGGAGCCAGGAGTCTCTCACGGTACATAGGAGACTTCCAGACAATACAACCTCCTCCAGCACATCTGTCGAGATAAGCGTTTCAGCAAAGGCAGAACAGCAGGGATAGGAAAGCAATAGCAATTAACAAGACACAGAATGAACTCCCCAACCCCTATGGCAGCATAGCTGACACCAAATCTGCCTTCGCTTCATTACCCAAATGTATCTACCCTGCAATTATTTCAGTAACAACCTGCTTAAAACATTTTGGCACTTACTCTATCCTGTTCCTGTGGGAGACTTAGAAGGGCCTTGTGTGTTTACCAGGGCCTGCTTCTCTAGTTAATTGCTAAAAAACTTTTTTCTCCACAACCCTAGAGGAAGGAACAGGAATGACCTGGACAAAAAAAAAAAACAACTTCTGGGGAGAAATATGGGATCATTCCTATTTCCACCAGGGGAAGGATTTTCCTACTTGTCTTAATCTGCTTTTTAAATGGTCTTGCTGACAAGGTTGTAAAACCTGCAAGGTGGTGACTTTTCAAGACTCTTCCATCTCATCTTTTCCCCAGTGTGGTGACATTAATCTTCCGGTTTAAAATTTCAGATTATGTATAATTTCTAATAATAATGGACAAAAATGTTAAGGAAGCCCTCCATTATGCCTTGGAAGAACTCCTTGAAAATGAATTTAAACATTTTAAATATACGCTACATGATACTGAGTACAATGGAAAAGGAAAAATCAGCAGAGGCCAACTGGAGAAGGCTGATACACTGGACGTTGTAGATCTTATGTGGAACTTCTTTGGTGAAGAGGATGCCCTCAGCATATGTACACAAGTCCTTGAGAAAATCAATAAGAACATTGCTGCAAAACTCAAAGCGGCAGTAAAGTCAGGTAAGAAATCTTGCTGTGTTGTAGAATCATATTCAAGAGAATCGCATACTAATTAATGTAGGAGGACTAATGTTGACTTCCTAGGCAGAATATCATGTCATGAACTGCGGGTTTAGAAGCCGCGGGTTCATTATTTCCCCTGCTTTGCTGCATGTTCTGGCCCTGTGGCCTTCCTAAGCCCTCAGTAGGTTTGCCAACCTCCAGGTGGGGCCTGGAGCTCTCCTGAAATTATAACTGATCTCCAGACTACAGAAATCCCTTCCCCTGGAGCAAATGGCAGCTTCAGAGGGTGGTTCTGTGCAATGCTCCCTCTAAGCTGTGGAGTCTTGTGAGCAAAAATTCGATTTTGTGAGCTACTGGCATTCAAGTTGTGAGCGAGCCACTTGGCTACTGCATCAGTTAGTTTGCTCTGGAGCCATCCTTCCTGAGCCAAGACAAAAATGTGTGAGCTGGAGGCTAAAAAACTGTGAGCGATCTCACACTAACTCAGCTTAGAGGGAACACTGGTTCTATGCCGTCGTATCTCTGCTAAGCCCCCTCCGCTCACCAGCCTGGCCCCCATACTGAAGAATCTGTTTAATGAAAAATCAATTATAATTGTTTTTAACATTATTCAGAAATGTTATATGTATTATTTCCAGTCTAAGTGTAAGTAAACGTATCATATTGATTTTTTTTAATTTTTCAAGTTACTTGTACTATCCCTCAGGTCAGTGGCTACTGTATGTGTACACCTGAAACAAATATGCATTGCCTCTTAATTTCACTTTCCTTTCCTTCAACTATCCTGTACTGGCAAAAGCTGAGTAAGCAAATTCCCTGATGTCAGAATCGGATTTCTTAAGAATCTGGAGGGAAGCGTGTGAAAGCCAAACCATTCATCGCAGTATCTGTCGCCTGTGTTTTACATTCTGTGACTATCAGAGGTCATTTCGGGGGAGGGATCGTGGGGGATCGCAGTTCCCCCGGGTGAGGTACGGGGGGGGACACATGACGAAGCCCCGCCCCCTGCTTCCGGCCGCCCCGCTTCCAGCCCTCATTCAGCCAGGAGGAGGCAGGAGAAGAGGGAGGGTAAGTTGCTTCTTCCCTGCCTCTCCCCACTCCTGCCTGCCTGGGGCCAGGGAGGGCCTTCGCGGGGCTTCCTTGCACTCCTGCCGGCCTTGCAGGTCCACCTAGCTCTTTTTCTATGAAACGACCCCTGGTGACTATTAATATTAACTACAAGTCTCCTTCTCTTTTAGATTTTGGTCAAGATCAAGTTCCTGAAACATCAGCAAATGGTAGGGATTGTCCTATAGAACTTTGATTTTGCATGATGTGAGCTGTATATTGTTACTTTTTGCTAGCAATTCGGTCTTCCCTATTAGCAGGGTTGTCATTGAAAAGGTGATGGTATTACATTGGTTCAAGCCATATGTATCCAGATTTGAGTGTCATGAACCAAACATGGTTGAGTGATGTGAGGGGATCATACAACAATGTCACTTTTTAGCACAGGTATACAGCCATTTAAATTTTATTTTTGAAGATAAAATAGTCATATTTGAGACATTCCATTCCAAATGAACTAACAGGATGGGGTCACAGTCATGGCTTTTGTTGACATTTTGTAAAGTCATTTTAGATATTGAAACATATCTACAACCAGAATTTGTTTTAAAAATCTATTACTGGGGGAGTAGTCACACTCCTATGAAAACTTGTTTAAGGTCACATTTCCTTCCTGTGCCGAATTTTATTGTTTTGGCATGAAATAAATGATTTTTAAATATTTTGAATAGAGACATTATATTTCTATTTTTCTGGAATGACCTTCCAATCTTTTAAATTTTGTTTGTCCTCTTCTAGATGAAAGATTGGCATATAGAGATCACGTTAAAGATAAATTTCAAACACTGAAGGACCAGAATTCTCTTCCAGGAGAATATGTTCATCTGAACCAGCGCTATTCAAAGCTAATCATCATAGATTATCACCGGCCAGAAAAGGAACGAGAACATGAAATTATGGCTTTGGGAGGGACTCATGCTCAGCTCATGAGGAAGAGAGCCAGTTCTGCTATTACTATTGAGACACTATTCAAGCCTGATAAACACGGGCTAAAACCTCAAATTATTGTGCTGCAGGGAGTAGCAGGAATTGGTAAAACTATGACAGCAAGAAAAATCATGTTAGACTGGGCCTGTGGAGAGCTGTATGAAGACATGTTTGATTATGTTTTCTATATACATTGCAGAGAAGTGAACCTCTTTACAGAGGAAAGTAGTATTGCTGAAATGATTTTAAAACAATGGGCCAGTAAGAACACAATTAAAGCGATACTGAAGAATCCTAAGAAACTCCTGTTCATAGTTGATGGTTTTGATGAATTAAGGTTTTCCCTTGACCAGCCGAAAGATTGCCTGTGTACTGATCCCTGGCAAAAGAAGCCAGTGGGAATCCTATTGAGTAGTTTATTTCAGAAACATGTTCTTCCTAAATCGTGTTTGATCATCACAACAAGGCCAACGGCTTTACAGAAACTACATCATTGCTTGGAGTGCTCACGTTATGCGGAGATCCTGGGCTTTTCAGAGAGGGACAAGAGGGAATACTTCCACAAATTCTTTCAAGATAAACATGAAGCAGAAAAGGCTTTTGGGCTTGTAAGACAAAACGAGACACTCCTCACCATGTGCTTCGTCCCCATCGTGTGTTGGGTTGTCTGCACTGTCATGAAACAGCAGATGGAGAGAAGTGAGGACTTTGCACAAACAGCAAACACACTCACGGCTGTCTATATGCTCTACCTTTACAGTTTGTTCAAGTCAGACAAAAGGTATTCAAAGCAACTTCATGGTAACAAGTTGAAAAGTCTGTGTTCTTTGGCTATTGATGGAATCTGGAAACAGGAAATACTATTTGGGGAGGACGAAATCAAGGACCGTGGATTAGATCAGTATGATTCTCTCCCTCTTTTTATGAGTGAGAATATTTTCAAAAGAGACATTGACTGTGAATGTGTCTACAGCTTCGTTCACTTAAGCTTTCAGGAGTTTTTTGCTGCTTTATCTTTTGTATTCGAGGAAGAACAGGCACAGGATTCTGAGAAGTATAATCAAGAGTTAAGAACGCTATTGGAAAGCTATATCACCTCTCGACAAGACTTAGCATTAACAGTGCAATTCCTCTTTGGTCTTTTAAATGAAGAAAAAAGAATGAAAGGCTTGTGTGAAAGGTTTGGATGGGAAATTTCACCTAAAATTAAACAATTTGTATTGAAGTGGGTGAAAAACCACACAACCACAAAAATAACAGATCCTTGGAATAAACAGTTATTGTTTAGGTGTTTCTATGAAATGCAAGATGAAAATTTTATAAAACATGCATTTGATAAAGTGACTGAAATGGACTTATTCTGGGGTGTTTATAGTAAAATGGAAGAGAGAGATCTAGCATATTGTCTAGAGCACCTGTGTGGTTTGGAGAGCCTTACTCTCAAGAACCTTAAATTTGTGCCTGAGGTTTTTTATCCAGATACAGAAAAAGAAGAAGAGGAAGAAGTGCTCAGGAATCCACAACAACATGGGTTAGATTTGTATGTATTGCTTAAATTCTAACTTGTTTCAGTTCCATTTTTATTTGACTCTCCTTTCTATAACTTCTGGTGATTTTCTAATACCAGGATTTTGTCTAATATATTCTGCTTTATAGTAATGTATTCATTCGTGTGCCAACTATAGTGTCCTATTTGAATCTTGGAACTGAAGTATATAGCTTCTTGATATCAAAACAAATAATCTGAAGAATCTTACATTCCGGAAGAATGATAGCATAATAGCATGTGGGGATATCACAATATTAAGTATGGACATACATTTTCAGTGCTATCCAGGGGTCATTTCATAGAAAAAGAGGTGCCGGAGCTAATTAGCATAACTCATTAGCATAACTTGTGTGCATATGCCACACCCCCTGACATCACCGGAAGTGTGTCAGAAGGCAACACCCACCGCTCAGGCTCCACTGGACTCTTTTGGATTGCTAGCTATTGGGGGGGGGGGGTGACATGCAGATCTGTCCTGGCAGAGGAGGGACAGCTTGTACCTGAATAAAACTTGGTCTTTAAGGTGCCACTGGACTGTTTTGGATGGTGGGCCGGGGGCAGCTCCGTAACTTACCTGGCTGCTTTTTGCTCTGACTGAGGGCTGCTGGGAGCAGGGGTGGGGCTTGTTGCATGTGCCCTCCCCCTGGGCTCTTTACTGCCGGAGCTCCGCTCCTGTGCGCTCCTGCAGGAAATGACCCCTGGTGTTAAGCAGAGTTACTCCAGTCTAAGCTCATTGAAATCAATGGTTTTCTTAGAACAGCCAGATATCAGCCATACAATGTAATTCCTGAACCTCTGACATTGCTTTATTCATTTATACCTTGTCTTTCTCCCCAATGGGGACCTCTTCTCCTCTATTTTATCCTCACGCAATGCCATGAGGTAGTTTAGACTGAATGTGTGTGACTGGCTCAGGGTCACACAGGTAGCTTCTGTGGCAGGTTGGGGATTTGAACCTGGGTCTTTCAGATCCTAATCTGACAGCCAGCATACCAGTTCATCAGGGAAGCAATATGTACATATCTTCAGCTAAGTTGCATACAAAGCTGTTCACCATTTAAGGATTTGTTATGCGGTACTCCTTGAACCATCATTTGCCAGCCTTTTTTATTGTAAAACTGGTCATCGAAGTTAGAGACCATAGGGTGCAGGAGGCAGAACTTACTCTGCATGTTCTATTTTCTTATTGCGCTCTTTTTTTGCTTTTAAGCTTTTCCTTTTCTGAATTTCAGGCATTCTCTTTAACTTTTGAGTAGAGCAGTCTTATACTTTGGATCTGCTCCAGCTGCAGCAGTGGATATTGTTACTTGGATTGCTATAGATGAAGTGTGGCTGATACCTGGGGAAGAGCAGCAAGACCTAACTTGCTTCTCAGAAAATGCTTCCCTTTCCTCTTGCTACTAGAGGGGGGTGGCATGTGGGAATGTCATCCTGTAGCATAGTGAATGTCAAGCAAAGTAGCAAAACTGAACCCTAAATTGCTCCATCCAGAACAGTGTAATAAACATATATAGGAACACAAGATGTTGTCCATCAGCTTCTCTTTCAAATTTGATCTAAGTATTTTGGCTTTTGCTTTTTCTGGGAAAATGTGCTCTCATTATTTAGCTTTTACTGTGCTTTCTCCTACGGTTATGCGGTTACAGTGTTTGATATAGGTAATAAGAAAAAGTTATGTTATATTTGTTTAATCTTCTTGATTTTCCTAATAAAATTTTTATTTAAACTGCAGAACAGTGTAATAGAGGGAGAGGGAGAAGCAGGCTGGTGATTTCTCCCCCCAACTTTCCCCCTAGGGCCTAGCATATCTACCCAGTCTATGTGTCAGCCCCCCTCTCCACATGCCACCAGGGAGCTTCTTACAGTTTTTTTTTTTAAAAAAAAAATTGGTAGTTGGCATATCAATGTAATGGTATTGTTGTGGGCCACCCAGGAGTTCTGGAGTTGGGGAACGTAGACGCCTCCTCAGCTGAGGAGGAGGTGATTGAGGCAGGCCCATGCTTACAACTAACAATGGGTGCTCCACCAAAGGAGATGGTTCTTTTGGTTTAGTTTTTTACCCCAAGTGTACTGCTGTCATCCCTTGGGGTTGGGATCAGCAGTGGAAAGGGCACAGCGGTTGGCATCACCTCTATCCTCACCTGGGCCACTGGAATACCGGGGTTAGGAGGAAGGTACTGGCCAGGCACTAGAGTGCCCGGCTGGTATCTCAGTAGTGTTCAGCTCTGGCTATTGAAAATGAGTCTTCAGAGGATCGGGAGTAGGGAAATTGTGGTCCCTTAGGTACGCTGGTGTGCTGTAATTGTTGACACCTGTTAGAGAATGACTCCGCAGGACTGAAGATTGCTGGTCAGATATAAGCAGCAGCTGAGAAGCAGGCTGGTGTGGAAGTAACACAGCTGTTTTGTGCTGATGCTCATTGTGTTTGTTCTCTGTGTTGTGCCTGTCTCTCCTCTGTGAACTTTGGCCTGTGCCTCAACTCTAGATCCAAACAAACACAAAACCTTTATTGGCATGAAAGCACAAGACATCATGGAAATACGGGAAAATACTAAGATGCATCAGTCACTATTCAAGTTTCATCTTCTGATTGCATAATATAAAAATTTTGCAACAGCCTCAATTATTTCACAATTAGAATTAAACAGAAGAAAGGGAACAATTGAGTCATCAGAGTGCCAGCTCTTACCCTCTAGAAATGGAGTAATAAAACAAGATCAGATATCCCTATAGAGGGGGCAATGAAGTATGGTGTGTGTAGTGGATGCTATATCTTTTAGAGAGCAAGGACAAAGTCTGGCGGTACCTCCCTAAAAGCACCTCTGATGGCAAGCAGGTATGCTCTGCAATGATATGGGGCTGTTAAACTTGACAGGGCTATTTTTGGGCAGGAACGCACAGGAACGGAGTTCCGGCTGGCTCCTGAGTCGGCCACGCCCAGCAGGAACTCATTAGCATAATAGGCCACACCCAACAGCAGAAACTCATTAGGATTGGCTACATTAGGGGTGTGTGGCCTAACATGCAAAGGAGTTCCTGCTACAAAAAAAGCCCTGGGTTTTGACAACAAAGTAAACAGAATAAGAAGCAAAAGGTGGGTGTGGCTGGATGACCACACTTCTGGTAACATGGGGGTGTGGCCTAATAGGCTAATGAGCTGTGCTGTCAGGGGTGTGGCCTAATAGGCTAATGAGTTTCTGCGGTTGGGTGTGGCCTATTATGCTAATGAGTTCCTGCTGGGCTTTTTCTACAAAAAGAGCCCTGGCTATGGTCATTACTAGTCTAATAAAGCAGACACCAACTCTGGAAGCCCCATTCCCACTGTATTGTGTTGGCAGCTTCAGTGGCACTGGGGCTTTCTTAAGATAGCACTGTTGCATGGAAAAGGCTGGGCAGTGGATGGGCACCTTGCTGTGCCTAGTGGCTCCTCACTTGCATTGAACTTGTGCTCTTTTGAGTTCTTTCTTGTATGTTATATGTACTCAGATTTATGAGTAATAATTGTAGATTAATTCATAGTTAGATATATGTGGATAATCTGCAACACCATGAAAATTGAAAGTAAAATGAATAAAACTTTGCCCAAAGTTCAGCAAATAATCTTGCTTTCCTTCCCCCCCCCCCAAACATTTTATTAGGATATATCCAAGTTATTTCAACATTTTTGCATAATCTTGCTTTCCTCTTTAGTGATCTGCATCAAGATCTTGAGCCTGGTGAACAAATCTGTAAAGCACTGAAGCATCTAAAGAATAATTTAAGGAGACTGAGGTAAAAAAAAATATCTACGAATGTTTTCCTTTGTAATACCACCATCATTTGAGTGTTCTTAATGTGAAAACCCCATGCGTTGTCTGCAAATGGCTCCCTGAGCACTACGGCACAGATTGATCTCTCTGTTTTCAGTTCTCCTGCTGAGCTCTTGTGGGCAGAGAGAGTGAAAGGCCAGATTTCCTTCCTCTTTGCCATTGTGGGAGGAATCTGTGCAGAGTTCTATGAGCACATGCATTTTGTCATGGCTTCCTGGACTGATGCAAGACCTGCTGGGAGATTGGATTTAGGGAATTTTAGAAATCAGTAGACTTTAACAGCAAGGTCAAAGACCATGAAATTGAGTAAGTGCATTAATGAATGAATAGCTGTAATGGCTGGAGAATTCCAGGTCCTAATTAAGTTCTTGGGAAATGGTATTTATTTGTTTAGGATATTTTTATGCTGCCTCTTCAGAGTCCTGCTTGAAGTGGCTTACAGTTAAACCATGTTTAATTGGGTTGCTTTTAAGTGTGGGGGGTATATCTTAAAAACAAGCCATTAGAAATAAACAACATAAAAACTATCCATAAAACAGAAACAGACCATTAAAAAGCTGTGGTAAGATAAGTTCCCCCCCTCCCCAGTTAAAAGCCTGGAGTAAAAGATGTATTGAGGCCTGGTGGCTACAAGAAATACAATAGGCATCAGTTCCAGTTTATCCTCAATAAAATAGGTCATAAACAAAAACAACTTGTTGGGCTTATTCAGGCTAGGCCTAATACAGACATTGAGTAAAATACAATAAGTAGATGCACACATTTCAAATTCAAAAGTCTACATCATAGAAGGATAGAATTAATTGAAACGTTTAGTAAAATATTAATAAGCCCACTATCAGAATTAGACCTGTCCTCTGAACCCACTCAGTGAGGATTGTTTCGTGACTTGGTCATGATGTTTTAGTGTCCATGAGAAGAATTTTGCCACTGTTTCTGCAGTCTTCTTGTCAGACTCTGAAAGGAAGTTTAATGTGATAATCCACAGAATGGGCTGGATATGTAGCCCTAAGTGAAGTTAACATAATCACTCTTTGTTCTGCATCCATCTTGCAGGAGAACAAAAAAAAAATGTGTAATGGATTCAACAACCTGAGCTACATAGGGAAAATAACATGTGCTCATGCGGGATTTCCCTTAAAGATAACTGGAAGTTTTCTGGAAGACTGTCAATGGATTTTATTGTCCTCAGAAAGTTGGTAGTAGCTTGCATATAACGGCATACTGGTGGTATAGGGCCTGAGAACAGAGCCAATACAGCCAGAAAATAAATTCTGTCATAATTGTACCTAGGGGTGTGCATTCGGTATTTACTGAGCCGAATAAATACCCAAATTTTCCAGGTATTTATTAAGCCGAATCAGTTTCTCCAATCTGATTCAGCTACCAAATAGAGAATGCCGAATAAAAGCTGAAAACATTTGGCTTTTATTCTCAGGCCACTTTATGGTTCAGTTAGGTTTTGGATTGTGGTTTGTGTTGCACATTGCAGGTAAAAATCCTGCTGGGATTCTCTGTGGGTTAGTTCTGTGGGGTTAACTTTGCATTGCTGCAACATTGGCACAAGGCTGTGCTGCTGGGCACTATTGCACTGACTTTTATTCGGCAATACAGAATACCAGTTCCGGGGGGAGGAGGGTTAAACTTTAAAGGGCTGCAGTTTCCTTCTCTTTCCCATTTCTGGCTCCTTCCCATCCTCTGCTCTGCTTTCCAGGAGGGAGGGGGAAGAGGGAACATATACAGCCAATGATTAGGCATCTAGGGCCTCTCAGGCCTCTTCCTGGTTCAGTTTTGTTCTGGTTTGTGGTTTGTGTTGCCCTTTGCAGTTAAAACCAGGTTTTTAAAAGTTTTCTAAAGTTTTTTAATTTTACTGTATGATATCCCTTGTCTTGTTAGTTTGGGTGGTGGTGGTGGTGGAGTGACTGACTAAACCTTCTGCCTGGGGCCTAGGCTCTCAGGCCTCTTTATGGTTCAGTTAGGTTCTGGTTTGTGGTTTGTGTTGCACTGTGCAGTTAAAACCAGGTTTTCTAAAGTTTTTTTAATTTTACTGTGTGATATCCCTGGTCTTGTTAGTTTGGGTGGTGGTGGTGGTGGAGTGACTGACTAAACCTTCTGCCTGGGGCCTAGGCTCTCAGGCCTCTTCATGGTTCAGTTAGGTTCTGGTTTGTGGTTTGTGTTGCACTGTGCAGGTAAAAACCATGCTGGGATTCTCTGGTATGACACTAGGTTAGTTCTGTGGGGTTAACTTTGCATTGCTGTGACATTGGCCACAGGGCTGTGCTGCTGGGCACTATTGCACTGGTTGTGCTGTCGTAGCAAACCCTCTCCCCCTTGCTTGGATTGTGATTCTGTGCTTGACATCAGTCCTGTTGAGCTGGCATTTGCCACAATGGCACTGGTACCTAAACAGAGTCCATGTAGATAAGCTCCCGCACGTATGTCCATTTGACATTCTTTCATTATCTTCCAGATAATTTTTTGCAAGTCTAGCACAACTTAATCTGTCAATTCCTAATGGTGGCAAGAATCAGGGGTTTTGTTTTTCAAAATTTCACAGTCCTGGGGTTGCAGCATGAGACTGAAATGGGCTCTTAGATGGTTAGTCTCAGGATGCCTCAAAAGATCCCTGAATTCACTACTGTTCACTTCACTATGATATTATGTTCACAAACAACTAGAACTGTTTGCAATGCATTCCATCACACCAACAAAAATAGAGTTGCTATTCACTCTAAAACAACTTTTTAATAACAACTTCAAAATAATAGCAATAACGGAGACTCGCCAAATTTTGCTATCTGTACTACCCCCAAACCTCAACTATTCAAGAAATTAACTTTCTTGACAGACAGTTCCTGACAAACCAGGGCAGCGGTCACACGGGCCAGAAAATGCGGGGGGGGGGGAGCGTGGCTGTTTGCCCCGGAGGAAAATAACGCGCGGCTGTCCAATCACATGTCCCGGTCGAGGTCCCATGGTCAGGGGAGAGATGCCAATCACATGAGTATCCTGCATCTCCACCGAGAGCAGCCGGGCCAATGAGAAAGGGAAAGGAAAGAGGGCCTCTGGGAGGGTCTCGCACGGCCCACTCCAGGCGGGGTCCGTGTTCCGCTTGCAAGGAGGAGAGGGGGAGATTAACCCACCAGATCCCCCCTCCCCACCAGCAGCCCTCCCTCCCTCCCTGGGACATGCGGCCCGCTCTCAGCCTGGCCTCTGCCGCTCACCCCCATCGCAGCCTCTCGTGGCCCTCTCTCAAACTCAAAGAAGCCACGCCGCGCGATCACACTAGCGATCGCTCTTTGTGCGCATGCACTGTTGGGCACTTTTGGAGACTTGGGGGGGGAACCCTTGTTTGCAATGAACATCGGCAGCCACCGGATGCCATGGGATTCCAGCGGAAACGCGATCAGGCGCCTGCCCTTTCTGCGCGGTTTCCGGAAACTAGTACCTCAGAGGTACTAGTTTTTTACTCCGCAAGCAGCAGGAAACCTCGGGTTAGCCACGGGAGCTCTACGCTTCCCAGATGTTGTGGTGTGATCGTGCCTGGAAAATCCGCCTACCATCCATATCGTCAGCGCGGCAAATGCTCCGTGTGACCGCATCCCATGTTGTTCTTTTGTTTAAGATTGTGGGATGTGTTGCTATTTCTCATTCAGGGATTTGTTATTCTGCCTCATGTTCAGGGGGCAATGCTTGGTAGGCTTCATATTTCCCACAGGTCTTCCCACAGAGAGCCAGTTTGGTGTAGTGGTTAAGTTGGCGGACTCTAATTTGGGAGAACCGGGTTTGATTCCCCACTCCTCCACTTGCACCTGCTGATGTGACCTTGGGTCAGTCACAAGCTCTGGCACAGCTGTCCTTGAAAAAGAGCAGTTTGTGTCAGAGTTCTCTCAGCCCCACCCACCTCACAGGGTGTCTGTTGTGGGGAGGGGAAGGGAAAGGAGTTTGTAAGACGCTCTGAGACACCTTTGGGTAGTGAAGGGCTGGGTATAAATCCAATCTCTTCTTCTTCTTCTTCTTCTTCTTCTTCTTCCAACATGGAGCATTGTTCAGAGGAGGTATTAACATTTTCAATGGAGAAGAGCTAGGAAATTTCATGGCTAGAAGGAATGTGGTGGTACATTATAGATCATGAATGATGTGTGATTGTTTCCCACAGACTGGTTTATTGTGATTTTTCCATTGATCATTGGTGGGATCTCTTATCTGTTCTCTGCATTTCTCCAACGCTCTCTGAGCTGAACCTGTTATTCGGTGAACAGGCAGATTCAATAGTGCAGCTCCTGGCTGATGCACTGAAACATTCAGACTGCAAGATACAGAAACTGGTGTAAGTCACTGTTAGTGTTTTAACTTCCTTACATAGTTATTTATTTATTATTTTCAATTTATATCCCACTTTGCCTGCACAGGAATATCTGCCCTTTCTGCTGGGATTATAGGATCCCTGGCTTGATTCAACTGTTCTGCCTTGGAAGGAAAGCAGAGACACTCACTGAATATTTTTCACATGTGTGTATGCTAAATTTCCGTTAGAGGGAGAAGATAGATCCTACTGGGACAGACAGTGTCAAGTTCCACCCTCCAGGTGCCTCGGCTGATTACTTTCAAATAGATTGGAATGTTGAAAAGAGGGGGAAAGAGCTCCCGAACCCCTAACACAAATAAGAGTTAGGAAGGAGCTGATCTGCATCAGCAGGTGGATAGGAGAGCCCGGGGCCTTTTTTTGTACAAAAAGCCCAGCGGGAATGCATTAGCATAATAGGCCACACCCAATAACACAAACTCATTAGCCTCTTAGGCCACACCCCCATGCCTTCCCTTGTCTGGCCCGGGTGCCCTGCAGCTGTGGGGAGCCTGAGAAAGCCCCCCCCTGGAAGGGAAGGCAGTTTAAACTGCCTTCCCTTGGCTTGCCTGGGCACCCTGCTGATGGGGGAGGCAGAAACCGTGGTGACCCTCAGGATGCAGCAGTGACAGGGGTCATTAAGACAAAGAGAGGGATTTCCCCCCTGCAAGTTTCGCAGGTCCTCAATCGTCATCTCTAATACCAACATTTTAGAATCTCCAGGCATCAGTTTAATTGAAGACTGACCGTTCCTTTATGAAAAGACAAAGAGAGAGAATGAAAACTTTTGTTCAAGCCATCAGTGCATCTGAAGTGATGTATCAGCATCTGATCCTTTTAAGTGGAGATGTGAGAGATTGAACCTGGGACCTGCTGCATGCAAAGCAGATGCTTCACCATTGAGCAAAGGCCCCTCCCAGAACCTTTCTAGTATCTCTGTTCCCATAATTGGGCTGCAGGTCACTCATAATGAATCTAAAAACGTACACATACACATTTTAAAAATAGTAAACGAAATTCAAAAACTTTTTAATGAGTATTGCTGATCATTATCATCAATGACTCTTTCACACAATAGGTTGGTGCAGTTACCCTGTAGTGATAGAATTGGTTGTATCTGTTATTCCCTATCATTTGCAGACTGAATCTCGAGATCACTTCTGCCTGTTGTGGGAATCTCGCCTCTACTCTTAGCACCAATCAAAGTTTGACAGAGTTGGTCCTGAAAAGGAACACAATAGGAGACACAGGAATTAGGCTCCTGTCTGCTGGACTAAGACATCCAAAGTGCAAACTGAAGAAAGTGAGGTAACCATCTATATCTTAATTTCTTCTATACTTGGTAACTTGCTAATATGAGAAACCCATGAACTATCTGCTCTCCCATTTCCCCCCAACCTCAGTGCCCTCCTCGTTGCATAGTAAGTTATGTTTTTCTCTTGCAGGTTGACTAGTTGTAAAATCACATCTTCTGGTTGTGGGGATCTCTCTTCTGTCCTCAGCACAAGCCAGACACTGAAAGACCTAGGTTTAGGTAACAATGAACTGGAAGATTCTGGAGTGAGACTGCTATGTGAGGGTTTGAGAGCTCCACACTGCAAAATACAGGCATTAAAGTAAGTAACGGCTAGTTTGCTTGTCATACAACATTCATAGTTAAAAGAAACAGATTTTTTTTTTGATAGAATTGTTTGACTAAAACAGATTCCTGGGTAATATGTTTCTGTGCGAAAGTCATGGAAAGGGAAAGCATTCATCATGAGTTCAAGCAGTGAGTGGTGCTGATTGGAGGAAACAGTCGGTGATTTCCCACAAGCGCTGCTCCGCGCTCATTCTTCTCTTTGGCCCGATGGTACGTGTCAATTTCACACAAGCTGCTGCGGGACTCCATTTTGCCCCGCAGCTTCGTGCGATTTCCCCCGCGTCTACTCAATCCTGTTTTTTGAGGACTGAGTAGACGCGGGGGGGAATCGCACGAAGCTGCGGGGCAACATGCGGGGCAAAATGCGGCCGCGCAGCAGCTTGTGTGAAATTGACACGTACCATCGGGCAAAAGGGAGGAGTGAGCGCAGAGCAGCGCTTGTGGGAAATCACCCAGTGTTTTTCCAAGCAATTAAGATTAGGGAGAGCAAACCATTAGAGAGGTGAGTCCTTCAGTAATGGGTGTTCGGTTGCCAGGTCTCCTCTACCCACAAATGGGGGATGGGTGGGTAGGGGTGACAGATCCAGGTTGGGACACTCCTGGAGTTATAGGGATGGAGCCTGGGGAGGGCAGGCACCTCAGTGGGGGCACAAGGCCACAGAGTCCACCCTCCAGAGCATCCATTCTCTCCAGGGAAACTGATCTCTGTAGTCTGGAGATGAACTGTCATTCTAGGGGATCCCCAGGTCCCACCTAGAGGCCGACATCCCTAAATGGTTGTAACCGCTTAAGTTGGTGGTGCAGCAGAAAACAACATTGTAGCTTAGAATTTTTAAAAAAATCTAAGATGTTCCTTGTATTTCAGGCTTCAGCTATTTTATGTACTTAAGCCAAAAGTTGAAGTGAATGTCTGTTGTAACTCCTATTGTCCAACCTTTGGACATTTTATGTCCCGGTAATATCTTAATTGCACAGTCAGATTTACGATGCGGGGGTAGTTCATTCACTTCCCCTTCCTCGAAGACCCTGGCCGGGTCTCGATACTAAACCGGGATGAAATTTAATTCTTCCCACACCAGGCATCCGTGCTCGGCTACAGGGTGGGGCTCCTACCCCCACTTCGGGTCCCACAGGTGCTCCTTACACGAGGGGTCCAGAAAGGTTAGGGTCCCAGCACTCCATTGAACATACGGGTCATGGACTTGGAGCCATGGGCTACCCAGCACCCTGGGGGATTCCACGGAAGGGTTCACCATGAAAGAGCAGAGCTCCCAGTGGGACGCCACTCCCGCTGTCAAGAGTGTGGTACGGTACTGGCAGGCCTCCCCCTTCATCGTGGTTCCATCCACCTGGTAGAATACTAGGGGGTCTTTCAACTTGTGCACGTTTGCCCCCAGACCCGTGACTATAGCAGGGCTGATTAAGTTCTGGGTGCACCCCAAATCTATTAGGGCTCTAACCCTAATGCACATTCCCACTTCAGTATGAATTACAGTTACAGTCAAATAGAAGAGAGGGGAGGAGGATCTAACCAAGTCTTGAGCCAGATACTTTCGGACCTGCTGGTTGGTGCCCTTCACAGCAGGTCCTGGCCTTTCCCTGCTGGCTGAGGCGCATCACAGTCACTGGATGAGGTGCCCTCCGGGGAGTCTCTCACCCCTGCTTGCAAGGCTTTTGGGGTCTTGGGATGTTTCCCCGGGGTTTTCGGTCTCTTCTTCTCGTCGCTCCTTCTCTGGGCTCTTGCTGCCCGGACAGTTCACGGCGAAATGCCCCAGTGCCCCACCTCTCAAGCACAACCCCAGGAACATGCGATGCTCATGGTCTCCCCCAATCATTGGGCCTCATCCCCAGGTTGCCTTCAGGCCTCCAGGCACCTTCCCGGGAGTCTTGTGCTGGTACAGCCGCATGAGATTGCACCTGTTCTGGGCTTCACAGGCCACCTGGATCTAGCCACTCAGAGTCAGGGGGTTATCTTGGGCTAGGGCCTTCTCAAGGATCATGGTATTTAGGCCTGCCCAGTAGAATTTGATGAGGACCTCTTCTGGCCACCCTTGCAGCTTGGCTGCGTAGGTCTTGAATTTGTCCAAGTAGTCCTGCACCAACCGGCTCCCATGGCACAGCCCGCGGAGATGGGTCTGGGCCTTGTCCATCTCCAGCGGGTCTTCGTACTGCTGCCAGAGGGCTTGCATGAAGGCATCTACATTGCGGAGTTCAGGGTCTCTGACGTTGTACAGCCCCACGAACCAGTCAGCTGCCCTTTCCCGCAGCCTAGACCTCATGTAGTCGACCCGGTGCTCATCGGAGGTGAAGGTGTGCCCCCACTCTCTCAGGAACTTCCACACCTGGATCACAAAGAATGCCAGCTTCTTGGGGCTGCTGTTGAAAGTCGCTTCTAGGGCATCATGGGGCTGCTCACGATCCTGCCTGAGCCCAGGCAGGGGTAGGCTGGGTGGTCGGATGGCTGATGGCGGCCAGGGGACTCTTCAGCCTCCTCCTCCTCCTCTACCTCCTCTTGCATCAGTTCTTTGACCACTTGGGTTAGGAATTTTAGCCTGTCCTTGATCTCTTCCATCTCTCCCTTGAGTTCGGCTCGCACCCGATTGATGCGCGATGCCTCTCCCAGTGTGTCAGCATCCAGAAGGTGCTCAGGGTCATCTTGGAAGACGCAGGACACTCACCTCCCTTCTCGCTCCAGATGGGTCTGCAGCCCCCGGAATCCAGGGGTGCTCAGGAGCCAGGCTGGGTTGTCCCATCGGTTCTTTTCAGCTTTCTTTGGTCTGGTCCCTTCCTTCCAATAAACTACATGTTTCTTGGGTTTGGGCTCAACCGGCTTTTCTTCCTTCTTGTCAGGTAGGGGGATCAGGAGCTCAGTTTCAGAGCTGGTTCCCATCGCAATTTCTTTGCTCTTTTTCCCAGCCATCACGATGGTGGGGCAGAGGTCGAATAGAGTGGAGAACTGACACTTTGTCAGACTCCTGGGCAAGTTATTCTCAACAGCACTCTCTTTGGCAGTGATACGTTTATTGAGTTATAAGCAAGTTCCAGGTCTTAACAGTACTGTGTCAGTCCTGAAGATTTTGGCGGGTACAGTAATAGATATAGGTAATCCAAACGTAACCCCTCCTAAGGCCCACTCATATGTCACATCCACTCCACCTAGCCTCCAGCGTCTCTACCCCCTTTCACCTGGGTAATATATGATCCCATTATGTACAGAAGTGAGCTGGCACTAAAAGTCTCAATGACATTCCTCTGGGAATGAGAGGAAGGCTTCTTCGGAAGAATTACACTTCTAAGACAGTGCAGTCACACACTCCACACTCCCCCCCCTACGGAATTCCCCCCTCCCAGCATCTATGGCAAAGTGAGCAGAGCGAGGTTTGACACCTATACAGATTTCTTACAGTAACCTATGCCCCTTGACAAACAGGAATCTAATGGTACATTGCTTTAATTCCAGAATATGTTTTTATGGATTAGAGCCTCCTGTCAAATACAATGCACTTTCATCACCTACCGAGAATCCAGGCCACTTTGTCTGGGAAAGAGATCTCTAGTCCATGAATGCTTATCTTCGAATAAAGATTTATTAGTCATTAAGGTGCCACTAGACTAAGGTAAGACTGGGAGTGAAAAATAGCCCTGGAAAAGGGTTCAGTCCCCGCAAAGGTGGGGTGGGGAGAGAAGAAGATAGAAGGTTACTACCTGACTCTGCCCTGACCCTCAAAGGAAGGAATAAAGCAGGAAGCGGCAGCCTGCCTAATCAGTTGGTTGCGTATTGCTTTTCTCAACTCATGCAGGCTGCAGGCCAACTGCCACCTCCTTTGCCTCCCATGGGGCTTGTGTGGGCCTCTGGAATATAGGGATCTTGTTTTGATGTATATCTAGGGATCACATCCTTTTATTCCAGCAGGGTTGTACACACATACATCCTGTTATGAGTGATGATCTCCTGGAATATTTTTTTTCAACCAATTTATCATCTCTCGGCATTGCTGGGTGGTCACCATCTTCTGTTGATGACCACCTCCTTAGAAAAATCAATTGAATACAGCCTTATTGCAGCACAGTTACTGGGCCTCTCCTAGACTTCTTTGCTAAGTAATAGGCTGATGAGCGCCCTGGTCTCAACGTCCGTCCACTGCTTTGCCATCACTTTTTTGGCAGACAGATAAAGTCCTGCGTCAGAAAGTGATGGAAACTGTGATGCATTTGTGTGAGCAGGCAGGGCAAAAAGTCACCCTTAGGATGCCTGGGCAGGTTGTGTTCCTTGAAGCAATGTAGGGCACCCAGGAATCTGCTGGTTCAGGTGACTCCCAAGTGAGGCACATGGGCCTGATTTCCTTGGGAAAAGACTATTTTATATGCCAGCCCAGCAGGCAAGGCATATGATATTTAGATAATTAAAAACGGGTCATTTCGTAGAAAAAGAGGTGCAGGATCTCATTAGCATAACTCATTAGCATGACTTATTTGCATATACCACACCCCCTGACATTACTGGAAGTGTGTCAGAAGGCAACACCCACCGCTCAGGCTCCACTGGACTGTTTTGGATTACTAGCTATTTGGGGGGGGGAGAATGCGCAGATCTGTCCTCACAGAGGAGGGAGAGCTTGTACCTGAATAAAACTTGGTCTTAAAGGTGCCACTGGACTGTTTTGGACCGGGGGGGGGGCTGGTGGGAGGGGCTCTGCAGCTTACCTGGCTGCTTCTTGCTCTGACTGAGGGCTGGTGGGAGCAGGGGGTAGGGCTTGTTGCATGTTCCCACCCCCTGGGCTCTTTATTGCCGGAGCTCTGTTCCTGTGCGCTCCTGCAGGAAATGACCCCTGATTAAAAATGTAATTGCTGCGAATGTTTCTGCAAAAAAGATTAAATTAAGTTACTCCTGTAAACAGTGTTGTTGCTGGATCACTGGATGACTCAGACTAGCCTGATCTCATCAGATCTTGGAAGCTCAGCAGGGTTGGCCCTCGTTAGTATCGGAATGGAAGGCCACCAAGGAATACCAGGGTCACTATACAGAGGCAGGCAATGGCAAGCCACCTCTGAATGTCTCTTGCCTTGAAAACCCTACAGGGTCACCATAAGTTGGCTGCAACTTGATGGCACTTAACACATGTGCACAGGGACCCTCTTGCCCACAGGGAAATTAAAATGGAACTGGAACCAATAGGATTTGGCCAGGAGAGAGAGCTATTCTTGCCACCACTACACTGTTCAGGAGATTTCCAAAGGAGATCATAGGACTTACAGCAGTCACATTTTCTGCTTGCAGGTTAGACTCCTGTGGCATCACATCTTCTGGTTGTGGGGATCTCTCTTCTGTCCTCAGCACAAGCCAGACACTGAAAGAGCTGCATTTAAGGGAGAATGAACTGGAAGATTCAGGAGTAAGACTGCTATTTGACAGCCTGAAAAATCCACATTGCAAAATACAGAAAATAAAGTAAGTAACAGCTGGTTTGTTAATCGTGCTACATTTATAGTAAAGGGCAAGGAATAAAAATTTTGATGCAGTTCTATGACTAATAAAAGTTCAAGGGGCAGACAGGTCTATGAGAAGGTAACAGAAAGGCAAAGAATACAAAAAATTCTAGTAGGTCATCATGGAATTCAAGCTTGCAACTAGAGATGTAAAATTTCCAAAAATTTTGAAGCTTGGAAAAACCCCAGGAAATTTTCGGAAGAATTGAAAAAAAATGCTACATTAGCACTTTTTTTTCTTTTCCAGATTGAAAGTCATTCTGTTACTTTAGGAACATAAAATATGACTACGGACATTTTTACTTGGCATGAAATTATCACAACTAGCATATTAAAAATATAGTGTATCCAAATAATTATTACAAACAGAATACCCACCCACATGCAAAAACAAAACTGAATTCTTTTCTTGTGACAATAGCACCTCCTAAAGGAAGAAATGTATCTTGTTCTTGCATTGGAGAGTTCAGTTTGTAACCTAAGGACTTGCTTGTCCTCAGTGCACAGAAATTAGATCTATCTGATACCATACATATTTTTTAGAAATGATTTGGAAAATATTTGAACACCTTGTCTTAAAATATTTTATTCATCATGTTAAAATAAAATGTTCCATAATCAATTTTTTTTCTTTTCTTTTTTCTTTTCAATTTTTCCAGTTTTTCGGAAAAAAACAAAAAAGGCTTCAGGGGAAAAACGGAAAAAACCACTTTTTTTCCCCCGGGCCTTCATATCTCTACTTGCAATATCGTGATAAACACTGTCTTTATTGCTTTAACGCTTTATCACCGTTTTGTCGTCTTTTGGGATATCCTGTGAACCTAAAAGCAGCATCTGGCAGGCCCCGACTCTAAAGACACACTATTTCCCCAAGGAATAGAAATTAGGTAGAGCAAATCTTCGGGGGGTGGGGGGGAAATCCTACAGCTATTGCTGAAGTATAAGTGGGTGCTGCACCAGAAAACTTCGTTGTGGCTCAGATTGGTTTAAAAAAAAACACAAAACACTGCGAAGTTCCTGAAATACAGAGGTCATTTCGGGGGGGATCGCGGGGGCTCGCACGGGGGGAGAGGTACGGGGGGCGGGGCACACGACGAAGACCCGCCCCCCGCTTACGCCTGCCCCGGTTCCGGCCCTCATTCAGCCAGGAGGAGGCAGGAGAAGAGGGAGGGGAAGGTCCTCCCTGCCTCTCCCCACCCCTGCCTGCCTGGGGCCAGGGAGGGCCTTCGCGGGGCTTCCTTGCACTCCTGCCGGCCTTGCAGGTCCACCGCCAGGCCCCTCATTGGGCTCAGCCGTGGAGCTGCAAGGCCACCGGCGGCCAGGACCGTTGGGGGCTTGGTGTGTGGCCTTATGACACACTTCTGGTGATGTCAGGGTGTGTGGCCTTATGACACACTTTCGGTGATGTCAGGGTGTGTGGCATATGCTAATGAGTTCCCCTAGCTCTTTTTCTACGAAATGACCCCTGCTGAAATATATCAGACAATCTGATATTTAAAATACCAAGTATATTGTTTAGTCTAAGCCAAATGCTGAAGGAAATGTCTGTTTAACTTTTGGACAGAGTTCTTCTATTAACCCATGCCCCTTCATAAACAGGAATCTAAAGACACATTAAAAGAGTTTACGCATACAGAAGAGGGCTTTTCTAGCTGTGCACACACACACACCCTAGAAATGACCTCTGCGAGCTGCAGGTGGGGAAACTCCTGGAGATTTGGGGGTGGAGCCTGGGGAGGACAAGGACCTCAGTGGGGTACATAATGCCACAGAGTCCACCCTCCAAGGTATCCATTTTCTCCAGGAAAAGAGATCTCTGTAGTCTGGGGATGAGCTGTAATTCCGGGGGATCCCCAGGTTCCACCTGGAGGCTGGCATTCCTAGGATCTCAGGGAGGCTATAGAAACCCTTAACTGGTGCCTGGATAAAGTTTTGGAGTGGATGTGGGATACCAAACTGAAGTTTAATCCTGAGAAGATGGAAATGCTACTGGTGAGCAGAAGATCTGGCTCAGGATTTAAGGTGTCACCTGATCTGGATGGCGTCCATAGTCTTGGGGTGTTCTTGGACCCAGGTGTCAGGCTCTCTGTGCATCTTTCAGGTTACAGCACCTGTGATTGAGAGAGGAGGCTCCCTCCCTCCGTTTGAAGTGTCTGGGGCTTGTCACCTTCTCAACGCCAAATGGCCTGGCTTCTCAAATGTCTGTGATATTGTTTTCTTGATATGTAAGGCCACGTTCCTGCCAACCTAGCAGTTCGTAATCAAGAAATTGCAAGTAGATAAATAGGTACCACTTCCGTGGGAAGGTACCGGCGTTCCGTGCGCCTTGGTGTTTAGTCATGCCGGCCACATGACCACGGAAACGTCTTCGGACAGCGCTGGCTCTTCAGCTTTGAAACGGAGATGAGCACCGCAACCCTAGAGTCGGGCTCGACTGGCTTTCGAGCAAGGGAACCTTTACCTTTACTTTAAGGCTACGTGCCTTGGGGGGGGGGGGAGCTGCTTTAGTTCTGGCAGGCAAAATGCCCGGGGGTGATTGGGTCCTGATCTTTAGTGCTTTTACTTGAATCCACTATATCTGTAATCTTTACAAAGAACCTGGGGTTCTGCTGGTACATTGCACTGGTTCTGCTGTCCTTGCAGAAATGCCCCCCCCCC